GGGGCCCACGTCGGGGTGGGTTCCGTGAGGTGACAGCGCGTGTCTCATCCCCCCACCCGACCCACTCACCTGAGCTCGCCGCTCGCACCCGCCCGGCAGGCAGCCCCGGCCCTCCGCCACACAGTCCCGCCGCCGGACGCCGCGCTCCTCCGGCGCCCTCCTTTTGTTTGTCCCTCACTGCACCACTCGCTCTCCTCCGCCCCGGAAGTGACGTCACGGCCTGGCGAGCCCGCGGCTGCCAGGGCGTTACCACGTCTGTAAAGGGGAAAGCGTCGCCGGCTTCGCCCTACTCCCGCCAACGCGACTGCGCCAAGCCACTTCGGGGCGGAAGTAACGGAGCAAAGTTCAGCCCCCTTAAAGTGACAGCGATCCCTACAACCTGAGGGGTGTGCTGCTTCTGCAAGAGCGGCGAAATGGCCTAAAAGGACGTAAGTATCTGCTTACTACTGTTGTTTGGGTTCCAATGGACATTGAGTCAGAGTCTTCATCCCTTTAGTCCTGTTCGTTTGCTGAATAACTGCCCCAAAAGATGCAGGTGCCCGTGAATGTAACTTGCGGGCTGCTGCTAACCGACGCGCGCTCACTCCTTTTCCACACTCATCCCACCTGCGACGGTCGTCCCGTAAAAGCAGTGGAAACGGAGCTGACAGTGAATTCTGAGCTGAGCTGCGGGTGGATCCACGTCTCCAGGTCATCTGCTCCAGCTCTTCATCTGTGTGGGTCCTCTTGGGTCCTCATAGTTCCCAGGCTAACTGTAGAGCCATACGTTGGTAAATTGTTTAATCATTAAAGCGAAGTGTTCCATGATCCCGAATACATCCTTACTCGAAAGAAGAAAGTCAGTGAGGACAGCAATGAACACCGGGCGTTTTTATGGCTGTAGATGTGGACGTGGGTATCAGTGATTTGTGCGCCAGCTGACTGATAAGATACACAAGCTATACAGATTATTCTTCCCTCCCTGAATAATCTCCGACCCCTTTTGCTGTGACAATTGACCATCACTATGAGAGTTTCTGAGCTGTCAATTGTTCTCAGAATCTACGCACCTACCTTTCAGCTAGTCACATCGATATTTTAATCAACTTTAAAACTATTAAAACTACGTAGTGAAGCTTTCAACCTTTTCTTCCTTTCCAGACATAGACTCTTTTTGCTTTGAGAAGGAAATAAAACAAAACAAAACAAAAAGGCCGGGCGGTGGTGGTGCATGCGGATCTCTGAGAGTTCGAGGCCAGCCTGGGCTACAAGAGCTAGTTCCAGGGCAGGCTTCAAAGCTACAGAGAAACCCTGTCTCGAAAAACTAAAAAAAAAAAAAAAAAAAAAAAAGAGAGAGAGAGAGAGACTTGGGATGGGGTAAACTAGGGAAACTGCATGGAGAAGATGACACCTCAAGCCCTGGCAGATGGGCTGCAGGCTGCATTAGATGCTGAACCAAGTTGTTTGGTAAGGAACACACAGTAGAGAGTTGCCAGTGTAGATTAGAAGCTTGCTGAGCAGAAGCATGGCCTAGAGGGAATTTGCCAACATTCATTGCAACATATATATCATTATCCCTCCTAAACAGATTATGCAGTCCATAATGTGTGACTTACTTTGCGAAGCAGTGTATCCTGGATACTGTTTTCAGTGCTAAGGATTCAGCCCAGCGCCTTGGGCATGCCAAGCACAACCTGCTGTGGAATAATCCTTGTGTACACTGTGAAGATGTTTTAATCTCATTGGTTTAATAAGGAGGCAACTGGCCAACAGCTAGGCAGAAAGAAGTTAAGCAAGAGAGCCGAATAGAGAGAACATTGGGAAGGAGAAAGCAGGAGATGAACACACCCTGCTCTGCCACATGGTAGAGCGTAGTAAGACATACCGGTTAGTAAGTTGAAAGAGTTAGTTAAGGGGGCTGGAGAGATGGCTCAGTGGTTAAGAGCACTGGCTGCTCTTCCAGAGGTCCTGAGTTCAATTCCCAGCAACCACATGGCTCACAACCATCTGTAATGAGATCTGGTGTCTTCTTCTGGCGTGCGGACATTCATGGAAGGAATGTTGTATACATAAGAAATAAATAAATATTCTTAAAAAAGAAAGAGCTAGTTAATAATAAGCCTAAGCCATTGACCGAGTAGTTATGATTAATAATAAGTCTCTTTGTGGTTATTTGGGATCTGGTGGGTGAGACAGAAAAGTCTGCCTACACATCCACAGGGAGCCACACTGCAGCCCCTCACAGGTTTTAATGTTTTGATTGTGGGTTTTTTTGTTGTTGTTGTGGGGTTTTTTTGTTTTGTTTTGTGTTTTTTTTTTGGTTTTTCAAGACAGGGTTTCTTTGTAGCTGTGAAGCCTATCTGTAGACCAGGCTGGCCTCGTACTCACAGAGATCTGCCTGCCAAGTGCTGAGATTAAAGGCATGTGCCACCACCGCCTGACATAATGATTGTTTATATTCCATATATGCCATGGTTTACTGATGCAGTCCTAACTACTGGACCACTTCCCATGTCTCCTATCACAAATGATGTCATCTTTGTACACATGTGTGTTTCTATACCATTAAGTTCCTACAAATGAAGCTAGTGCATGACTGTACACACTTCAATATATGGCAGGTTACTCCTGCCATTTGAAAGGCAGAGGCAGGTGGATTCTGTGGGTTCAAGGCCTGGTCCACATAGAGTTCCAGGCCATCCAGGACTACATAGAGAAACCTTGTCTCAAATAAATAAATAAATAGACAAATAAAGTTATAGTAGATATACTGGTAAATTATCTTCCAGTTAGTTTTTACTATTTTTCTTGTCTGTTTGTTTTTTGTGGCTTTTCAAGACAGGGTTTCTTCTTGTAACAGCTCTGACTGTCCTGTAGATCAGGTTGACCTCCAACTCTCAGAGATCCTCCTGCTGCTGCCTCCCAAGTGCTGGGATTAAAGTCATGTGCCACCACAGCCCAGCTTAGCTTCGGTGTTTTATTTTTTTGTGTATGGACATTTTGTCTGAATTTATTATGTCTATGTACCTGATTGCCTATGGAGACCAGCAGAGGGTGTTGGATCCCCTGGAACTGGAGCTACAGATGGCTATGAGCCACTATATGGGTGCTGAGAATTGAACCATGGTCCTTGAGAAAAGCAGCCAGTGCTTTTAACTGGTCAGCTGCCACCTCTCCAGCTTTTAGCATTACTGTTACATTTTATTTCCTTTTTGAGACAGCCAGGCTTTGGGTGGGAGGAGCCCATTTCTAATTTGCTAACAGATGCCAGGACGGCTGATCCTTGCTGGCAGGAATTCTAGCCTCTCTAGGTCTGGCCTTTTTATGTTGTGGGATACTTGTACACTGTGTGAAGATATATTGCTATAATTGGTTTCATAAAGAGCTGAATAACACATCTAGGCAGGAGGTAAGGCGGGACTTCCAGGCAGAGAGGGAGGAAGTAGGAGAGGAATCAGAGACTCCAGGAGACACAGAAGAAACAAGAATGTACATTAATAAAAGTGGGTTAATTTAAATTATAAGTTAGGGTAGCTTTAAAAAGCCTATGTTAAGGCCAATCTTTCATAATTAATAAAGTTTCCTCGTGTCCTTATTTGGGAGCTGTCTGGTGGATCAGAAAGACTTAATACATTTCTGCCCATACAACGAAGAGCTGGCCCATTAGCTCTAAAGTCATCCCATGTAGATCCTGGATTCTGTGGTTTAGTTCCCTCTGGCTCTGCCCCGGCTTGCTGTACAGACTGCCCTCTCATTTCCTCCTATCTGTCTCTGTGCACACTGGCAGGGCTGGGCACGATAGCCAGCATTCCCGCTGCCTGTCACTCTGAGTCTGAAGTCCCTTCACAGACTCATGCTTGTCATGCTGGTATCGCAGTTGCTGGGGTCATTTGGGAGGTTCTAGAAGGTATTTGTTAGCTTTGTGAGATAGGGTCTCACTATGTAGGCTTCCTGCAACTCACAGAGATCCTCCTGCCTCTGCCTCTGGAGTGCTAGGATTAAAGTGGTGTGCCATCACGGCTATACAGGAAAGGTTGTTTTGTTCTGTTTTTTTGTTTTGTTTTTTGTCTTTTGAGATAGGGTTTCTCTAGCTTTGCCATGTGTCCCATGCACCCGCATCTACACTCCCCCAACCCCGCGCATGTGTGCACACACACACCCGCTTCCTCATCTGTCACAGTGGGAAATGTCTTTGCATCAGGGCTCCTGCTGCTCCACTGTGCTTTTCTGCTATGAAACCTTGAACCACAATAACCGTCCCCCCATTGTTTCTGTGTGCTATTTTAGTCCCAACAACACAAACAACCAACACAGAGGACGGGTACTGTCTGCAGACCTGTCTGTGGCCATGATAAACTGACCTTTGGGACTGGTCTGAGGGAGCCAGCAGTGTGGGCTCCACTCTGGGATGGCATGAGTGCCACCTAGTGTACAGTCTGGTGGGAATGCTTCTAGAAACACTAACAGTCACTTCACTGGGAAGCGCACAAGAGGCTACCTTGGTTATGCTCTGGCAAAGAATTTGTCTCCATTCTGCCCATGTTCTGAAAATTGGGTTGAGGTTAGACTGAAAAGATAGACTAATTTGTTTGGCAGAGGAAGGTTCAA